CACCCACACCCACACCCACACCCACACACCCACCCACACCCACACCCCGCCACACCCACACCCCCACCCACACCCCGCCACACCCACACCCCCACCCACACCCTATTGGTTGGGCAGTAGGCAATAGAAATCAAGTGTTTATAGAAAAGGTTTGCCTGGATAAGTTTTATATCCCCACATTCTAGGATAACTCATCTGTCTCATTCACTTTTTGAAGTACACATAATTCTCGGATTTAAATCCGAGGTTTCCACATTTATTTTTCTCCGGGCCCAAAAAGTCTCAATAAGTCTCAAAAATTTTTTTTTTGTGGGCGCAAAAAGTCTCAATAAATCTCAAATAGTCTTTTTCTGTTGGCGGAAAAGTCTCAATAAGTCTCACAAAAGTCTCGGTGGAGTCTTTTTGAGACTTTTTTTAGACTCTTTTTGACTGGAAGAAAGGTGTTTAAAAAGGTCTCAAAAAGTCTCAAAAGACCTGCGGTTGGGTGGATTGGAAGACATTGTGGATACGGTCATTTGGGACAGGTTTTGGTCGTATGCGGCCGTATATCGAGGTATAGGGCAATTGTATACGGCGACCGTATACGATGGTCGTTTACGGCGATTGTATACGATTAGTGTATATGGCCGTAAAGGGCCGTAAGGGGTGGCTTACGGCCGTGTTCGTCGGTCATGGTTGGGCGTTACGTTGTTATTACGATTGGTTACGTTAGCCGTATTACGGTGCATACGTCAAGGTGGACACGGCCGTAATAGGGTACCTGGAAGTACGGGGAAGATACGGTCGTTTACGGCCGTGAATCCGACGTATACGACTGTATACGGCGCTGTACACGGCCGTTTCTGATTGCAGTAATGCTCGTTCTAGGCTGTTTGATGTCTCAAAAGCAGAGTATGAATATTTGCAGGAAATATCATGAGAGAATTTTGAAAATTTTACCATCGTCAGGTTTTTAACGCTCTTTCTATTTGTAATCTCTGAAACCGAAAATCTTATGACAAAGTAAAGGAGGTTTTCTAAACACCCACCAGAAATTCTAAAGTCCAGATCAAATAAATTTTTGGTTGTGGTTAAGAGAACTGGCCCCCGTAATTTCCAGAGTATGTACATATTATACTTGTTTCTTGAATACACGGTTTATTTCATCCCTTGAAACATGTTAATTCTGTGAGATCACTTTATGATTGTATTCATTTTTCCCAAGATGATACTGTAGAAAGATGGAGAAGGAGAAAAATATGAAAGGCAACTATTAGAATAAGCAGCCACGATCATAATTTCGACCTTGCTTAAGGGTCTCATCAGATGGCATTATTCTAATTTCGTCATTTGGTTTAAAAAAAATTTACAGCAGAAAAGCTTTGTTCAACTCCCATAAGGAAGAGAATCGATATTAACAAGCATGGCTGCAATTATAAGAATAAGCAGCCACGATCGCAATTTCGACCACCTGATGAGACCCTTAAGCAAGGTCGAAATTGCGATCGTGGCTGCTTATTCTTATAGTTGCAGCCATGCTTGTTAATACCGGTTCTCTTCCTTATGGGATTTGAACAGCTGTTTTCTGTTGTAATTTTTGTTTTAAGCTTGTGAGAAAATTAGAATAATGCCACCTGATATGACCCTTAAGCAAGGACGAAACGCGTCATGGTAGCTTGCACTCATCCCCACCCAATCTCACCCTCAACCGCTCTCAAACAGAAACAATAAAGAAAGCGACGCAATTTCAAAGTTGTATCAACTTAACGAAAACAGAAGAAGACTAATGAGAGAAAGAGTTATGTTTCTCTTTTCTAAAAATATTGTTAAAGATTTCCCATGGCAGCTGCACTGTTTACATCACGAGCTCTGTTGTTGTCATTTTTTTGTCGTCACTTTGTCTAATGTTTGCAAAGTTAATGCACAATGCATTTTTTTTTTTCTACTTGATAGAAACGAAAGAAAAAGAAACAATCGTTTTCGCCTACAGCTAAATAATACAATGTGTCCGATAAAGTTGCCTGAGATTGTTCACAGTATATAGGCTATATAAAAAAAAACTTCTTGTAAATCAAGTGAGATACGAAGATTTTCATGTTTTATTCAAAGAATATTGTAATTGAAAACTTGCATATCATGACAAATGGTCTTTGCAACTACAAATTGATTGAATCGAGAAGAGGTTTTTACTTATAAACTCAACTATCATTAATATGTTGGGAATGATTTCGGAGTTTTTACGAACGATGGTTTCTTTTTTTTATTAATTATCAAATACATCTCATACCATTCGACGTAATATAAAGTTAAGGAGGAAGTTTAACACAGTTATTTTTTAGATTTTTCATTGAAGATAATATTGACTACCAACGTGTTCAGTAGTTAAGTCAAAATACATACTTTTTTTAATCACTGAAGTTCGCTGAATAAATCTTCACAATATGATTGGTTTTGACATCGAAAGGAAAACAAGATACATATGAATTCAAGCAAGAGTGTTATTAGATTTGCTATTTTGTTTAAAAAAACCCAGTTTCTTTCTCTATTTGAATGTGAAAAAATTTTCGTTACTTAAGAGAACTATTCGAAAATAATTTATCAATGGTTGTTCCATTGTTTTGTCATCAAAAACCCATTCCTGTAGATTTTTTGATTTATTATTTGGTATTAGTTTCTAATTTCATTATTCTTCTTTTGCAAATAATAGTATGAATGAAATCTTTCAGCATTTCTCGTTTTCTAATGAATAATATTGATAATAAAAAAAACTCAAATTTAATATTTAAATTAGAGATTAATGGAAAAAAATTGAATAGGAAAAACTTGATGATCACGATCAAAAAAGTAGACCTCTATCAACAACGACGAACACTGCGTAACCTAAAATACAAAAATTCAATTTATATTATTATGTTAAAAGAGAATTTCTCAAACCTTTTAAGAAAAAATGTGAAATAGTAAAAATGTGAAATAGTAAAAATGTTAAATGTAAATATCTCTATTTAAATGAATTAATTTTTTAGTAACGAAAAGAAGAACCTTGACTGGAACGATCTTTTCAACTGTGTCTAATTTAAAAGCAAAAAAGAATGAGCCAGCAGCGAATGGTCTATTGAGTATTACTTTTTTTCTTTCTCTTTGCATCTCCCAGGTCTCACTGTTTTCTTACACGTACAAAAAAACAAATTTCGCTTGAAGACAGTAGAATGTCAGTGCAAAAAAGTTTTTTGAAGAAAAATTTATAATTCTATATGCCATGTAGTTTGTTATTGATCGAGTGCCGTGATGTGAAAAAAAATAATTATTCATCGTACATCGTCACTCGTCTATATAAATAATTTGCGATTTCTACTCTGAACACAATATTGCACACAACATTTCTTCTCGACGAACAATTGCGAACACTCAATTGAAAATAGCTGCTTGGTAACGACGAAAAAACCTTAAAATGCGTGAGTAATTTTCTCAGGCCGAACGATGCTGACACTTCTACAGAGGTCTTTTATGAAAGATGTGATCACTATACTATTGTAGCATACGAAAAAGTGTGAGATGCATACATTTTTGATTATCATGTCGATAAGTATGCTCAATACGTGTTGTTCCGCATAATCGGTATTACTTTTTCATATGTTTTATCAATAGAAAAGACTACTGTTCATAGTAATATATGTAATCAATGATATCTCTTTCTGCTATATGCCATTATGTGAAGCTTTCAATGCTTATTATTAGAGACATAACATGTCATGAGTACGTTTGAATTACTGAAATGATTAGACGTTCGTTTTGGGATGGACAATATTATAATTTCTTGTTTTTTGGCTAAAGTTAAATCATTTTTCTTGAGGTTTTTAAAAGAAACATAGATTGAAGGAGCAAATTCAAGATCAATTCACTGACTAAAAACAAAGTTATAAGTCAGGTAGTACTAGGAATACACCAATTCCAATTCCAGTCAATTCCAATTTCGGTTTTTGGCTTGGAATTGGCGGAATTAGCTGAAATTGGGAATTGGGATTGACAGGAATTGACAGGAATTGGAATTGGAACTGATAAGAAATGGCCAAAGATTGGCTCGAATCGGTATAGCCCAATACTAGAGAGCACCTACGGGTGCTTAAGCCAATACTATAGGAGTACTTATAGATCGGAAAGGACTATCCTATGGAGATACCTTGGATCCTAGAGTGCTATACTGTGAGGGTACCCTTGGGTTCTCAAGTTCTATACTATAGGGTACCAATAGGTTCTCAAGTCCTATATTATCAGGATTCAGTTGGGTCGTCAAGTCCTATACTATGGGGATACCAATGGG